GAATTTCTGATTTACTTCTACATAATAAAGTCTTATGTTACTTTTGTGAGATAGGTATCTTCATTTTTCACTTTGGCAAAACTCAGAACAGATAAGGAAATTACTCAAAGCCACAGGGGAAGTCAAATAGAACAAGCAAACAAAACATTTTAAAATATCATAAAGAATGGCAGAACTATATGTGTGCTGGTCAAATTGGTGTATTCCCTTCCCCTTTTAAAAATTCCTAATAAATTCATCCTCTTGGATATCCTGTCTCAACCCAGATGGCCGTAGTGCTTGGAGGCATCAGCTCTGCCAGACCCGTCTACAGACTGGGTTCTGATTTATTGCTGCTAACAATGAGACAGCTATCACAATGGGATCTCCCTGCAACTTTTCAGATTCAGGAATGCAGACAAACATACTTACTCTTATGTAAAACCAGATCATCTGCTTTGTAGAAAAATGGTATTTCTTCAGAGATTTGTGTAGTAAACAGGAAATGTCACTAAACTAGATATGAACTGATTGACAATTTAAAAAACTTTGACATTCTCTGTGTAATATTTACACTTAATTGCCAAGACCCTCATGTCTACTGTGGAGTGAGATGTTAGATCTCTTATGACTATGCCATAATAATGCTGTATATATTCCAACAGTATCCGCTTCTCCAAAATAGTACCATTTGTTTAAAACATTTGTGTTTTGTGAATTAAAAATGAGAGACTTGAGAGTAATACTGCTTTTATATATTATTTTGGTCTAACAGCATGAATGGTTAATAACCTAAATTGTGCCTGGCTCTGCACAGGTGTGCAAAAGGGGAAAAGTAGAAGGCATCCATGCAGAGGAACTAATTCTAGCTAGTACTGCAAGCTTCCAACAAGGGACAGGTGTAAAATAGAAACATAGGGAAACCTCAGGGTTCAGTACACAGTCACCAGCAACCCATGAAAAAAGTGACAATTATGAACATCAGCTTCCAGATGTAATAAACGTATTATGGTTTTGTCTTTGTGGCTAAAATGCATTTTTATACAGATTAATAAATACAATAGCTATCCTACTAGATCCAAATGGAGACAAAACACTAGTTCTAAGAAGATGTAAACTAAGCAATGGTCACTGAGGAAGACACTGTTTTTAAGTAGCTTGAATCAATTCTAGAGAAGGTTCTGAGCATCAGGAGAAAGATCTTGAACTGGAATAGTGATAGAAATGTAGCCGTGTTAGTCTGGTGTAGCTGAAACAAAATACAGGACTATGTAGCACTGGACTCACTATTAAGTGCAGAGACCAGAGCACTAGTGATGTGTTCATTGTGGCTTGTGATATTAATCTGGGCTTCTGTATTGGATTCTAGCTGGCCAACATCCCCATTCTCCCCCAGAGCTGCTGTTTTGCACAACTGTTATCTATATAGCTGTCATCTTTCTACTCTAGATGTGGCTGCATTTCTGCAATGTGCATGTATGTAGTTTGTAAAGAGCATTGTGATACCATGGGTTGACAGGTGTTATGGGAAGGTAAGATACCACTGCAAGTATTTATTTAGAAAAAGGCCTGAAGCAGAACACGGATGCAAAACTCTCCTCCCCTTGAACTTTGGGGAAAGCTCTGTGGGTTCAACTCCATATACGGATTTTGTTACTGAGCCCTATCTGTAATGAGTATCTTCAATATTCAGGTAATACTAAGTTTGTGAGGCTTGAGGTCCATATGCAGGATTGATGCCCATAGATGCACTTACAAACTAGTATTTAGGCATCATGGACCAGAGCTTCCTCTCATTTGGACCAGTTTAAATCCTTGGTGACTTCCAAAAAGTTAGTCTGAATTTGTAACTCGAGCAGCCCCTGGCTCCTACGTGTGAAAGTGGGACTGAGAAGGTGGCTGCTGCGGGTGCTACGGCAGCAAGCTTTGGGCAACTGCTTGGAGATGAGCGGCAGCGAAGGAGGCATTAGGCATTGCTGGGGCGCTGCGACGTGGAAAAGGGGATGTCTGTGGGCAGAGGAAATGGCAAGGAGGCAGGAAGCGGGGCGCCTTGGGGATGCCAGGTAGAGAAAGGGGGGCACAGGAGTCCGTGAGGGGCAGAGGACATGGAGGATGGAAAGGGCAGGGGGGGGGCGTGCACTGAGGGGGTGTCTCCGGGCTCCACCACGCAGAGGCAGCTGCCGCCCCTACGTGACGCCTCAGGCAACCAGGCTCGCCCTGGGCTCAGCGGCCGGGGGCGCCTCGCCCCGCTGGCCCAGCAGCCCGCGAGCGCCCTGC